TGAGCACCACCACGAGGACTGGCCGTTCCTTGCGAGTAAATGAATACAATCGCTTCACATTACAGCACACTAACAAGCTCCCACTTAAAACTAAATAATTGTAATTTATCTTAGATACAACCGATGCACCTTAAGAATCTCCAAGCATGCTCAAGTACAGTGCCTCATTAGCTTCTTTTCCTTCCTAATTTGCAGGCAAGTCATTTAACTTAAAAATGACAGATTTAGGTAAAAAGTGGGTAATACTTGAAACACTGTTTTATAGCTTTCACATAGTGTGGATGCAGATCATCATGGCATGCTGACAAATTGTACTCAGGGATTTTGTATCAGAATGCTGCTAAGACAATAAAATTAGGGACTGAGATTTATTAATTTATTAGGGTTTATTTTGAGAGAAAACATTTACCTTTCTTTTTCTCCTTAGCTTACTATATACTCTTCTCTTTCCAACCCTGGTTATTTATTTCTATTATTAAAAATTTAATGAGTCTGAACTCTTTGTGACTACTTACTTGCTTGTCCTCTAATGACCGCACATGCATCTGAATTGCCTGGACATTGCTGAGTTCCTTGTCTGTTACAGTCTTCATCACTAGAACCTACACAGGTGTAACACTGCAGTGCTTCGCCTGGCATTAAGGAAAAAAAGACCACTTGTAACAGTAGAATTTAGAGTTTACAAAAATATTTTCAAATACCAGCTACACACTCCAATTTTGTTTGAAGCACTTGCAAAAACTGCCAAAAGTTTTAAAAAATAGGTAGAGAGTCTGCAAGTCTATCAATTTTTCTTTTTTAGAAGTGGTCCAGATACTGATTTTAAAGATACTAAAAAAAGCCATTTATTATTATATTGTTACAATTTGCTCTTAAAATAATCCAAGAATATCTGATGTTCTGTAATTGCATCCACACCTTTCTGTAACATTATCAGAGCAGAGTCCACTGTAACAACTTGGAATATCATGGTTTTTCCCCCTCTATCATGGTCTTTTGTCCACAGTACCATGAAAAAGTACATTGCAAACACATAAAATCTGACTATGAATGATCCGTATTTCATCTTCTCCTAAAGTATCAACTCAGCTGGAAGGCACAACAGTATCTCTTAAGAGTTTTGCTTTTGTTTAAACGTTACAACCATTACTTTATCCTCTTTCTTTTCCTTAGTTCAAACTACATGGTCTTTTCCAAGGCAAGCATGAACTTGAAATATCTTTAAAATACCATCCTTCAGACTTGCAGAGTAGAAGGTGCACTTGCTGTCCACAGGGACACGTGCGTTTAAATTTGTCAGCATACACATTTATGTTTACATTAAATAGCAGAGGTGAAATTCTGTGCTGCTAACTACATACACAAAATAAGCTGAAACCAAACAAACCCAGGAGAGAAGCCCAGAACAGCAAAGAGGCTCAGCCATGCCTGAAGTAGGAAATGAAAAATAAATTAAAAAAAGGAAAGAAAAGGGAGTTGACTTACTTTTGATTACAAAAAGGGAGCTGACAAGAACCAAGCTGAAGACAGTCCACATCATGGAGATACAGGCGATGTACCATTAGCCAAAGAAAGGAGTTTGTTTGCTATTAAAGCCTTAACGCTTATCTTACCATACCTAATCCTCTGCAGAGGATAACTTATAGGATAACGAGGTGTGCGAGAACGCTACTTAGCTAGCTTATTCTGGTTGCACTTCTAGTCACACGTACTTCGTCTCCACAAACCCTGCAGGCAAATTCTTCCAGTAGCAAGAAGAGGAAAATGTATTCACCTTTCAGTGATACATACACTTAAAAACCATCAGCCCATCATCGCATGTCACAGCCTCCAATTCACGCAAACAGTCTCACTGCATTTGCCTACGTGATTTGCTGGATCAGGGTCAGAGTATTAAACACTTTTGAGGATTAAGCCTACGCTTGGGACATGAATGGTCCAAATCTAGCATATATATCTATATATAGGCATGGAGCTGTGCACATAACTAGTATATTCTTGTGACCCACGGAGTGGTCCAAGCAGCGACCCACGAAGTGCTTTCTGCAGAGGAGTTCCTTCCAAAGAGCTGCTGTTACCTGGCGCTGCACATGAAGTAAGCAAGTGAAGTACATAAAATAGAGCCATACTTATCTTCAACTTTCAACGAAAAGATTTATTTACAATAGAGAATTTCATTTAAGTGACATGCAGTTTCAATTTTTTTCATTTTTAATTTTATTTTACAAATCAGCAAATGCAGATAAAGTTTACACTCCTTAAGGCAAGAGTCCCCATGCAAGTAATACATGTTTATATTAAATCCAAAAGACATCCAACATGGGAACTCATGTACAAAGGGAAGGCTAGGATCAGCAATTTGTAATTTCTTAGAGAACTTGACAATCTCCCTGATACAGGAACTTTGAGATCAACTTGCTATGAATTATACTATGAAAATGCAAACAATAGCAAGAAATTCTGATAGTCATCTTAGTACTGCATACAATTAAATCAACTTTATTTAGAAAGAAAATACAGTAGTGCATACGAAAAAGTGAAAATATAACCTGTCCACATAAATGCATGGACATCAGTGTGCCAATGGTCATATTGCACTCAATATCGAAGTCCAGAAATTTGGTTAAAAGTTAGCTTTTCCCCATTTTGGCAATCAGTTCATCACAAATCTTTGTTAATTCTTCTATCTCTTTATTCTGGAAAATAAAAGGCAATAATAATTATTACAAAAAATATTGTTGCATTGAGTATTTTTTTTTTCCAATTATCCAACCTCTGGGAGAAGTGTGGGACAATTAAGTTTTCTCCAATACTGAGAACACAATATCGATACATATATAGAGAGATATATATGCATATATAGTACGGCTACGTATAGCGCATTCAAATGACACGCTTCCTTATTTCCACATACTGCTCCTCCGACTTTAATAGATACAATTTAGCACTAAAGCAGACAGCTCTATAAGCAGTCGTTCCTAGCACATGATACTACAATAGTATGGCATGTACATTTGTTTTGAGGCTGCACTTTCATAGCATCATTTTCACCCTCTTTTCCAGGGGCTCTAAGCAAGGCCGAGCTTTGGTCATCCTGTTGACTTCTGTGTTAGAAGACTTGAATTGCTACTCACCTTTTGCTCCAGTGTTCTTTCCAATGCGTCCACTTTCAGCTGCTCTTTACGAAGGCTGGCCTGATACGCTGCTTGCTCTTGCTGAGCCTTGCCTCTCACTTGTGCAATTTCAGCATTGGCTCTAGAAAAACACAGATTTTTGTCATGTCAGGTTCACTACAGGAAAGGACAGCGGGTACCAAAGGATGGACTGCATCTCAACAGATGGGTGGTGAGGGCAAGGCTCTTTTCTTTGTATCTTTGAAAGTATTCTGAGACTTGTCCCCAGAGACTTTTCATGACTCCCTCTCTTGCTCAGCAGAGGCTGCAAAGTCTTTTCTTAATGTCTGTGTCACTCCCTTCATCCTTCTCTCAGATTGTCTTGGGGTCACAAATATGACTTAGGTAGAAGTGTTTTCTGGCAGTTTCTAAACCCGATCTCCAGTTCTTACAGTCTAGACTCACAGCTGGGACCGCAGCTGGAAAGCAAATCCCAGTCTTACTTTGTTTTAGGCACTGATCATTCCTAGTGACATTTTGGAAACATCTCTTGGGTCTAGGGGACTGTAATATGAGTCCTGAATGTCATCGCTAGAAATGCTTAATTGGTCATTACATGGAAGCATAGGAAAAAATAAAAATAAAATATCAACCACAGCTGCCTCTCTTAGGCCCTAATCTGATGTTCACTCCTTAAGAGTGGCTTAAGGAGTTGCCAGCCGTGCACATCTGGCACAATCTTTTCTGCAACTGTTCCTTGTTGCCCTCAGCACCAAGCACTGGGCTGATCCAGCTTAGATAATTGGTGTTACTCGGGGAGAGACCTCCCGACCGGTTCTGCACTGAAACAGCGGGGCAGCACTTACATGTTCTGTTCTGCCGATTGACGCAGGGGCAATAATACAGCGCAGGGGCAATAGCAAATCTCTGGGGGCAGGAATACTGGCTGCAGGTGCAAATATCTGAGCACAGCCCTCCATAGCTGCATAAACCTAGCTAATGGCTTCTTTCTTGATCTTCCCTGGAAAATACGTTGAAGAAACTTGAAGACATTTGATAAAAATAGAAACTTAAGGTGTTCTATGTGGTCAGGAGCTGGAAAAAACACCAGCGCATCACAGAAATTCTCACTGCAGCATCTCATTCCCCGCTCCATCACAGAGCAGCCAGTGCTCTGCATGTTGAAGGAGCAGGTTTGGGATGCGAGGTCCAGCCACAGGAATCCTCCTGCAGCATGAACTCCTGAAAGGAGATGTGTACAATCAATTACCTGTCCAGTTTTTCCTCAGCGTGAATTTTGAGCGCTTGATACCTCTGCTCTTCCTTCTTTACTCGTGATAAATATTCCTGCGCACATTTCTTTAACACTTCTTCATTCTTAAATGAGAAGATTACATTAAGTTTAATCCAAGAGGTTGAAGCGTGGGACAGGCATCTATTTGTGGGACTCACGTTCAGATATTTGAAGGGCTGCAGTCTAACACGGACACCCCCCCACAGAGGCCACCTGAAGCAGTATTACACAGTGCAAAAAGCTTTTATCGTTCTTCTGTTTGCATTTGAAACATGGCTGCAATCCTTCATCTGAGGATTACGCTACGTCACGCACTTTAGACATAACCTCTGACCCGAGGAATTCACGTCCGAGGTTTTAACAGGATGCTCAGGCCAGAAGCCAGCCCTGACACGTGCTCAAGTCCCGCAGTTACGTGACATCTATTGAAATCGCACTGTCACAGATAGGAGCAAGTTATTTTTGTGCAAAATCTTCACCTTTCCTAAAGCTATTCCAAAAGGAAAGCACAAATGAGCATTCAGTTTCCCCCTCCCTCCAGCACACTGCAGTGTAACGCAGTACATCAGATTCGACTGGAGACAAAGACGCGTCTTCTGCCAAGCGGCACTGGTGCGCCCGAGAGCCTGCTCAGCTTTGCTCTTCAAAGGAAGGGACTTTATCATCACTCACCTTCCGAAACCCCTCCAATACTTCTTTCATTTTTTCGTATCTCCTGAAGAGATCTGCCAGTGATTTCTCCACCGAGTTCAGATCTGCCAAAGCTTGTTCCTTCTCCACTATCAGCTGCTGAACAGTGTGATGGGAGACAGATTTTTCTCTCTGTTCATCCTCTGTTAGAAAGAAGACAGGGGGAGGGAAAAAAGTGATCTTTTAAAGGGTAACAGGAGTAAGAACACTGATTTCACTATCATCTATAGCTTCTACTACACTGTGCACTACATTGTGTATTACTAAGTTTGCGAGAATCCAGAAAAGTAATTTTTATATAAAGACACCATCCTGTTTTGGAAAAGGGTTGCCAAATACAGTGGTATTTAAATATTTTGATGTTGGGGAAAAATGTGAATGTATCTGTTCTGATGATTTATTTCACTCTGAACTCTGCTGCTCCCATGAAAAAGGCAGGTGTGGGATTTCCCTTGTCTGCCTGAAGATGCACTAGCTGAGGAAAGGACATTTATGCATATTACTAGCGCTGGCAATAAATTATTTGCCATTGCTGATAGATGCTTGTCATCTCCTGGCATCTCTTCTAATCCTGCACAAAGCACTTTCTTTAATGGAATTCAACTCAAATTCTTCCCTTGGAAAAACAGTATTTTGCAAACTCTCATTCTTAGGATTACTGTAGCAAGTGCCAGAAAGGAAATCTAACATTAGACAGACTTTCCAAGTTTTGGTCTGCGGAAAACCTCTTTCAAGCTTCTCCTGGGCACAGTTAAATTTGAGGGAGGGATGGTGGAAAGAACACATCAGAAATCCAAATCCATATAGAAGAGAACTTTTCAAAGGAATTGAACTATTGATAAATTGGAATACCCGTGTAACACTGGAAGAAAAGCTCTGGCATTGTCTTCCAAAATGCTTCACTGCTTGCTTCATATCCTAATATATGATTCTTGTGTCCATGTTTTAAGGGCTACTTTGAGCGATACTGAAATGAAAACCAACTGCAAAACACAGCAGTTTTATATTACCGTTTTCCGTTGTCTATGATAGAAACTAAAATAAGGTATAAAGTTCTCCCATGTAAAAAGCACAGGGCGTTTCAGAATCTACAACTGTTCATTAGGCCTTCATATTCTGAAATATAAAAAACTAAACAAGAATTTACTTTTTTATTTGAATAGAAGTCTTCATCTGAATTAAGTATTTCACAGTGCTGGTCAGCTCTGAAATGTCAAAGTTGTCAATTCCCAAACTCAGGGTAATCTCTTCCTTTTGCATATTCAATCCTTCTATACGCTTTTTTGGTAGCCTACGGCCAGAGAAGCGACCGTGCCACGCCATGCGTCCGCTCACGTTGGCTGTCTTCTGTGCCCCTCTGCACGCCCCCGGAGAGCATCTTGCTGGGGCAGGGCCTGACCTGAGGTTATTCTGCTATATGAGATGCAGAAGATCGAAGGAACC